GGGGGGGATCTAAGCTCCAAGTATAATTATCAGCTACTGGACAATGTTATCATTACAAGATCGAGTATGATGTAACATACTTTTAGGAAATTTATACTCATAACATTTAATGCAATTTGTAAAAGGTTCCCCACACGATCATGCTTAACCCGATTCAAGTAATCTTAAATATTCTGAGTATTTTTTTAAAAGTAAACGGACACACTTTAGCCTAAATATATCTATGGTCCAAGAAAGAGTAATTTTTCGTACTTGGTGAAATCTTCTAGTGTTTGGAAATTTAATTGTAACAACGAAATGACTGAATTAGTATTATAAACCCTTTGATGGGTCTGCGTATATATTTCGAGTTGAAGAAAAAAGGATATAGAGTTAATAAAAACAACACTTCAAAACTAATTAAAGCTTGAAAAAGAAAAATATTCACAAAAAAAAAAACAAAAAAAAAAATAAATAAATAAATAAATAAAAATAAGCAAAAAACTTTTCAAAGAAAACAACTTTTTAATAAGTTGGATAAAAACGGGGAAAAAATACTAAAGAAAAAGTAAGCAACGGGAGCGGACGGCGAATTTGTTTGAAAATCAGCTAAATATTGTAAGTGAAAGGAATTGAATTCTTCAAAATTTCTTTTCTAAGGGTTTAGTGTTTTCCTCCCCTTTCTTTCTCTTCCTTCTTTCCGCGCTTCTGCCATTATTAGCTACAGGCAGTCAGTCAGTCAATGTTAAAGAAAAGTAGAAAATTCCGCCACAATAAGAAAAACCTATAGAAACTGCAAAACTTTAGCTAAACAATAATAATAAAGGAAGAAAAAAAAAAGAAAAGAAAAGAAAAGAAAACGAACACAAATCAATGAATAACATAATGACAGCAATAACAAAACCCTGCGCTTAGCCAACATATGGTTTTCATTAAGGGTGGAGTGCAGACATAAGCACTATACGTATGCACTGTAGGAGAAGTTGTTAGCATGAGCCCATTGAGTGTACGTAGACTACAAGACGAGAAAATCCGCTTAAAATAAAATTATTTTGTTAAGAGATTTGTTCTTCCTCTTTTTTTTTTTTTGTCTTCTTCATTTTGTTCTATTTTGTTCGCCTTTGTGTAAAAGTTAAGTGATAATAAGTTCATGTGAAGGGTTTTCTATTATTTTTTATTTTTATTTATTTATTTTTTTTTTTTTTTTATGTTATCCTATTATCGTATGTGGTTTTTATGGTAAAGTTGGTTTATTTGATTTAATTTTATATTTTTCTTCAATGAATTTTAAAAAAATATATACATATATATATATTGGAGATACCTTTGGTTAATCGATGAACGTGATTATAGATTAAAATTAAACTTTAGAGGAAGCCTGGCAGTTAGGGGATGTCCGTTGCACGAACACGATGATAGTTAGAAAGAAATGAGGAAAGAAGAGGAGACAGGGAGTGGTCTTAGGCTACTAGATACGTATACAGTTAGTAAGTCTTATGCCTTCACTAACTCCGACTGAACTCTACTACCATGTGCGCTCCACTGCACTGAGATTCAAGCTCTTTGCGATGTTGCTTAGAACTCGGTTATTAGTCATTCCTTGCCTTGTAACAAAATCTTATCGCCAACCTCAAGTTTCCTAAAGCATCAATAAGACGGTCACGATTGCGGAATGTCGTGATTTGAGTCAAATAATTTTTTACTAATAAGAATTTTAAATACGTAAAGAAAGCAGGTTTTGTACCAGGTCGTACTAATTGGAAGCATTTCGCAGTCTTTCAAGCCGGGAACCTATGTTGCTAGCTCTTGTCCTAGCTCTACCTCACTTTTGGTACAATCAGCTTGTGTGGATGTGTGCACCATCCAGAAAGACTCGAAATAGACCTACCTTTCAATATACCAATCTATTCAGAATCACTTGTCTGTCCTTCAGTCCGTCCTGCTTACTTGTGTACAACCACGCAGCTTGCAGATCGGATACAGGGATTCAAGACGGACAGAGGGGCAGACGGACAGACGGATAGACAAGCTTAGATCGATCCGGGAACCTAGTCTGAATGGATCGCTATAATAAAGAAGAGGTCTATTTCAAGTCCTTCCTCCTTTGAGTGCAGCATACATCCCCTTTAACTTAATATACTTTTGCATCGCAAATGTTGTAAGACGGAAAAAATGTTGCATGCTAAACACTCGCAGCGGCAAGCTGTCAGCTGCATTCCAACCAACTAAAGCAGTACATTGACTTTCTTCCTTCTGCTAGGTTAAGCACAAATCCGCATAGCGATTGTATTTTCCAGGCCGCTCTTCTAAAGGAATTTTGCTTTTTTTTTTATTAAATGTTGTGTTTTATAATTTTCTGCAGAATTATTGCACCTAAAGAGGGATTGCTTAAGACTTCTTTTTTAAGAAATTTATTTTTATTTCCCTGCAACTGAAACTAGGCAATGAAGGATTTTCGTACGTTTGCTGATTTACAAAAACTCCTGCTTATTTATTTATTTGCAAAATGTGTTCACCACTAAAGTCCCAAAAGGCATTTCGTATGGTTAGTTGGATATTCTATGTTTTTTTTTTTTTTTTTTTAAATAATGACAAACTTTTTATATTGAGTTGTTTACCCTAATGAAGAAAGAATGAACTTCTTTATATGAAAATGATTTGATGACTTTGTTAGCTTAATCTTGCCCAAGTTTTCAAAAGACTTTTATTTCTTTTGAAACACGAAAGAAAATATGGTTTTTTTAAAAATTCATTCTTTTTTGCATAAAAATTTTAGGCATGATTTCTCAAATTTGTTGAGCGCATACAAAACAAGTTTTGGGATAAACAAGTAAAACGATTACCGTCGACCACAGCCCACCATTAAACACCCTACTTCAGACGACAGTTATTCAGATAACGAGTTTTGAAAATAGGATTTTAGGTAGGAACAGTTCGAAAGAGTGTAGCATACATTCTTGCGTTCTAATTGAAATATCTCCAATGCTATGACCAGTAGGTTAAACAGAAGCTTGCATGGGCATCCATGATATAGAATAGAAAGACAGACAGGCTTATATATACCGCCGAAATTGATTTTGTAGAAGGAGAATCCATGTGAATGCCTTATGGGTGCTTTATACCTCCGCAAAACCTTAGTATACCCGTTTCCCACAGCTAGTGTAGAGTGTATAAACAAACTACATAGTTAATCTTGAAGAAACTTCCAAGAGGTTTTAAATTGATCAGCGGTCATGTCAGTAAGACAACTTTTAAAAAATTCAAAGCATACATAGTGACATCCATTTTGTCGTTGCGAAAGTAAACGTGAATAACGTACATTTGGACCTTGGCATTATCTGTGAAATACAATACTTATAAGGCAGCGAACCCAAGGCCACGTTTCGTGCATTTGGCATGAAACTCATATTTGGTTAAATCACTTCGTTAATAGGCATTATTGTCCCTTTGGTGTACAGAGAACCCACCTGGTATTGCTTAAGGACTTTTAAGTTTGACAAAATAACTTTTGGGCGTGGCTTTTGATCTAAAAATGCGATTGTTGAACATAAAAATGGCGCTGCAGTTACCCTCAACGAAGTACACTGAAGGAACATGAATACTGTTGTTTTTGACACGAAGCAAATGACTCCAGCTTGAACGATATGAGGTTTTAACAAAATGTTGCAGCATGCCATACGTCTAGCGGCACCATCAATTTGTTATGAGAAATATTCAAGGACTGACAAGGACTGTTATCTTCAAGAAAGCCTTTGCAAGTATGCCACAAGGATCAAGCGTTATAACAGGATTGGTCTTTTTACTTTTTTCGGTTGCGTATGCGCAGTGACCTTATCCACTACCAAGGTTATTCGCGTTATTGCTGGTATAAGAGCAGCTTTATATGAGAAAGTTACAAAAATTGGTATTCCAGGATTGACTGGAGGCTAGAGGCGGTCAAACGGGAAGAACCAATATTTAAAGTAAGAGACGATTCATCTTGATATCATTTACCGTTCAGCTGTTATTATAAGTTAAAAAGAAGCAGGCCCTATATATTGGGACTATCTACTATATGATACACTGAACTGCTCTTAAGAAGATTATAATATGGATGGACGGGGCAGCAAGCAGAGGAGGAAAAAGTAAAAGCTTATATAGATGATATGACGTACAAATCGGGGACATGTATTCTTTACCGGATACCTAATGACCTGTCTGATGAAGAGTTTTCATTGAACTATGTTTGCCGCAAAAAGCAATTTTCCCCAGACTTCGGGAACTTTGATAAGAAAATGTTTTCCCTATTACTCTGAAATTCTTCAAAAGTGCGGGCTGTAAGTATTTTCAAAAGCCTCTTAAAATATTTTAAGGCCCAAAATTCCTCAAGCATGAACTCTTTAAACGGTCAACAATTTTTAAAAGCATATATGGGGAAAAGTTGCTTAAGACGTTTTCCACATATATTTTTTTAAACCTTTAGAAAAAAATTGCCAAAGTCCTTTGAAGAAAACAAAAAAAAAACCTCGCAACTATTCAAGCGATACATTTGAAATCTTCTTATGACGCGACTGTTGCAATGCGGCACGCTTATTGAGAAACTCTGACCTCTCTATGCGGTAACACTTGAATAACTTAACTATGTGAAAGTATTTTCCGTAATACTCTTTATATAAAATGGGAAATTTCTTTTCCTCTAGTGATTTAACAAAATTCAAAGAATACCAGATATGTTTAAGCCATTTTTGAAACATGAACAAAATGAAGGCTGGAAGAAGAAAAAGGAAAGCAAACGTAAATTCATAGTCTAGACTTGTTAAAATGAATATTTAAAAGGTTAACTTCTTTTTTTTTTTATTTTTTTTTTCTCTCGTTCTATCTCTCTGCATCCTTCTAACTGCAGGTGTATATGAAAAGTAAATAGCAATCAAAGAAGCAAAACTCTTTAGAGACTTTTAAAATAAAGGAAGCAAAAAAACAGAGAAAATTTTTTCTTTTTTTTCTTTTTTTAAATTTGATAACGAAAAGAAATAAAAACTTACCTTTATGATGTCGTATATGATGATGGCCGCTACTGTAGCCCATACAGCAGGGCTGCTCATAATATAAATTCCAGGTGTTCTCATAATCAGAGTAAGCATAATCCACCGCAATAAGTATTAATAATCCGATAATACGGACATTCATGAAAGACGACATTATTATGATATTTTTATTTAGATTTAATATTGAGCACATGTTTTTTTTTCTTCTTCTTCTTTTTTCTTTTTTCTTCCTCTTATTATTATGATTATTATTTAAATTCTTTCAACCAAAAATAAATTTTTTACACTACTTTGAGCAATTGCTTTATATATATATATAGATATATATATATGTATGTGAATATATCGTTTTTTTTTTTTTTTTTAATAATCTGCAATATTTGTTGTTTATTGGTGATATGTTATTAATTGAGCGTTTTATGATTATTTGCGGTATGCTTTTGCGTTTCTTTAATTTCTTCTAAATATTGCTTATATTGAAATGTATTTATATTCACGTAATTTTTTATGCATCAAACTTAACAAGCAGTTAGTTTTACCCGTCTATTCGCATAGTATTTTATCGAGTGCCAGACGCCAGGACTAATCACTACCAACTGAAGTTAATACAAGCAAGGATTTATGTTTTCGATATATAGACAAAGTACAGACGCATAAACATTATTAAGTAGGATGACCGTACGGTAGTTTTGATTATATTTTATCTCTTTACCTCTGCCACTCTCTCTCTCCTTTCGTTTTCTCTTTCTTTTCTCTCGTTTTCTCGCTCTTTATCGTTGCCCGAGACCGTTTGAAATTGTACTTATTCTCAGAGTTTGAAGTAGTAGTTGTCCTTGCTCTCTCTCTCTCTCTCTCTCTCTCTCTCTCTCTTTCTCTCTCTCGCTCTCCCTCACTATCCTATACGCTATCTTGCTATATTTGATTTTTGTTTTTATCTTTGACTTAACAACAACAACAACAACAACAATTATTTGCCACTTGCTTTCGCTTGTCTTACGATATTTTCTTCCCTTCTATTCGATGTACGGTTTTTAAGATTGTATTTTAATAGTTTCTCTCCTTTGTACTGCTTATTAAAGCGTCACTCATATTCTTTGAATTCTGGCATAAACAGGAGCATAAGAAATCTCTTTTTATCCCGCTTCCAAACATCTGTAAAGAAAAAAATTTATTATACTAATTACCTTTGGATAAACGGCGCATGTCAAGCGACCATAAAAGAATGGGTGGGGGAGAGAGAGAGAGAGAGAGAGAGACCAAGAATAAATGAGAGTTAAGTGAAGAGTGTATAGCAGTTTCATTCTACATCATCTTCTGCTCTCTTTCTCTCTCTCTTTCTCGTTTTCTCTGTTTTTCTCTCTCCAGGCCATCAATAAAAGTTAAACAAAAATTTAATGTTATGTTTACACTGAACTTGTAACTTGTTCTTGCATCATTCTAACTACAGCGGTAACAACAGCAATAACAACGACAACAATTATGTTTTCATTTTAAATATGAAACAAATACATGCAAGAATCATCATCATGGATGAAAAACGCAGCATTTAGAGCATTTAAGAGTTAAGAATAAAGAAAAAAGGAAATCACTTTAACAACAAATCATGGCAGAGAAAATATTTCAAGGGTAAAACAGCAACAATAACAACAACAATAACAACAGCGGCAATAACACAATACACCGGCTGTTTGCTCTAAACTAGAGATGAAAACGAAGCCGTGTTCAATGTACTGCGAATAAGGAACGTCGCTCTTTCAATAGCACACACAAACAACTTTTTCTCTGCCGCAACTATTTTCATGTTTATGCAAGTGCGTGTAATTGCAAAAGAAAAAAAAAAAAAAAAAAATAAACAATATACCTAAATATATGCGCTTTTTGTATGCAAATATTCATACGCACACATATGCATACGTACAAAGGGATTATCCTGGCTTTAGATGTATTAGGCTTTAACGTACATTAGGAAGATAAGTGTGTCGGTTTTTATTCTTATTTGTTTTGTTTGTTCTTATTTTCACATTAAATTTTTTTGTTTTTTTGTTTCTCCTCTTCTTCTTTTTCTTTTTATGATTTTAATAACCTTGTCTGCCTTTTATGCTGGTCTACTACTCAACTCGTCTGCTTAACTGTCTCGGTTTCCTTATATGACGTTGTCTGTCTATTATTACCGTTTTGTTGTTGAGGCTTTGCTTTATATACACATATATATATGTGAAGTGCTTTGTAAAATATTTATGCAACTGACTGCATGACTGAGTGCCTGGTTGACTGACTGTCTATGTGTCTATTGCTGTTTCAGTTAAAATTGAAATCTACACACAATGTTGCATGCATGCAAAACGCTTACTTCATATGCTGTAACATTTCATTTTACAAGCAGCAAACAACACGCGCATATGAATTCATTTTCCTTCTCATTTTTCTTCTTCTTTTTTTCATGCATTACTTCCTTTCAGACACTTTTCATTTCTACATACATCTCATACACAACTGGTGTCATGGAAATTTTCATCTTTTCATTGGAACAACAACAGCAACAACAACAACAACAACATAATGCACAGGTTTTTTAATAGATAAAGGAGCTACATGTGGTGCATGTGTTTTACATATACACATATTCCACCTTCTAAACAACTAACTCATCATCACATAGCTAGCTACCTCTACTCGATCTTTTCCATTTTATTTTCCAAAAAAATGTATATTTTAAAATAACTTTAGACATTCTTTTTGGTTTTTACTCAACATTTTATTGTGAAATTTTTAGAAAGTTTACTTCTTCCATTTGTTTTTTTCGTTCTCTCTTTCTTTCTTTTTGTTTTGCTTTAAATTTTTGATGCTGACCACAATGTTGTTATGTAGATTGGTCGGTTTGGTTTGGTTGCTTGGTTGGCATATTCCCTCCCTTGCCTGCTCATTTCTCCTTTAACATTGGCTTAGTTTACTTTAAAATGTTTGTAAAATGTGGCTTTTTTACCAACGAGACATCCTACAACTATAACTTTTCTTTACATTCATACGAGCATCATTATTATTGCTATTATTATTGTTATTGCTATTATTTCCTTCAAGTTTGTTGAAATTTTCTTTACATGTGGTCAAATATAACCTAAACTAGTTATTTGCGAATAAATGGACATTTATTGCTGATGCTGCTTTTTTTCCAGGAAAATATCAGGTGAGGGAGCTGACAGACTAAGGTAAATGCACTTCATGTCTCGCAAAGAAATCCCATACAATAGGAATAACATCTTAGTCAGCTGAGAACTAAGCATATATAAAAGACTATCCGAAATTGTTTATTAGATTAGATATGAATAGATAAAAAATAGCAAGCAGACCCAAGTCCTATATCATGACAATAATCGTATTCTAAACACCAGAGCAGAGATGCCACAAACAATCGCAAGCAAAGGTGAAATTGATAGTGTGACCTTTTGTGACGTCCAGCTAATGTTAGAAGACTTGGAGGAAGAAATCATAAAAGTTGTGACTATTCCGTTGAGCAGATCACAAAGACTTCTTCTTATTACAATATAGCGCAGCCCACAATAGTTTAAAGAGAAAATTTTAAAGTACATCTACTGACGTTTTGCACATATAAAAAGTCTACAAAAAAGATTACTTTGATCCGAAAGAGGCGAAGCTGAAATTTATCAAAATCAATTCATGATCGATTGAGAAAAGTTTTAATCTGCTCAAACATGCGCCTGGCTCTGCTACTAAATATCCTGCACCAACGACTTTTCCAAACAACACTTTATACGGTAAGTGGTCGAAAAAGTGGTCCGATTCGAATCATTTCTCATAGCGTCCGTCATTGTGCCAAATTTCAGAGATTGTGGCTTACGGGTTGAACGCAAAACAAAAAAAAAACTACTCGGACAGACGGACAGGTATGTTTAAATCAAATGAGAAAGTGATTCCGAAGCAATTGTCATAATAAATAGTGGGTCTCTCTTTATATACCCTTCCACTATAAGAAGTTCACAATTATTTTTACTTTACTTTTCACCTACTGCTATGGAACCGAAAAAAGCCATATTTTAGGCGAGAGTGCAGCCAAGTTACCAATATTTTCTAATCTTTCTTCGTTATATTCATTTCGTTGTTGCGTGCTGTCCTCGTCATTCGGATATTTTATGTTAATTATATCACTTTGAGCTTAGGTTCTAAGGTTTAATGTGCTTCGATTGCCAAGTGGTAGAGTAAAACTTATTTATTTGCTTACGAACTGAGATAATCAGAATGAGAGTTTTCACCATCAGATGAACTATTTATTTTTTTAATGAACAGGCTGTACAGGGTAAGCACCAAAAACAATGGAGTGCCGAAATTCTTGTGGGGTCTCCCCTCCCCTTATCTTTGTTTAATATATTTCGCATTCAGTTATTCATTCTAGATTTTTAGACCAAGTTAGATGATAGCTGGATGATAGCGTCTTAATAGCCTTCGTCTTATTCCTATATCCAAGTGATATGTTTTCGCTTTCGCCTTTCATACCAAAGAAAGGAGGAATGCTCCGATCCTAGCCAAACCGTGGATTTATGAACACAAATCCTCTGTCGATCTCATTTGCTGGTTGGTTACAAGGAGAACGAGATTTCCTTAAAAATTACATCCATAAACTGACAAACTTATACAAGTCCAGAAATACGTTATGTAGCATATGAACGCTGCAGATACTCACTCGGTCATTATGAAGCTAGTGAGATAATAGGCTTCCGTTCCATTATTTCCTTTTGTTGTGATAAAATGATTTCTAATTGCTTTAATTTCGTTCCCCATTAAATGCTTCTGTTTTCTCCTTTTCGCTGTTCAATCAGCAATTTCGCGCCCCTTCCCTGTGCGTTCGGTCACATGCGTGCGTACATATGATTTGATATTTATTAATATAATGTACAAATGGATTTGTTAATGAAGGCCTTTTAAAATTTATTGCTGATTGCTGTACAATTTGATAAGCCAAAAACTAAATCAAACAGCAACAGCAACAGCAGCAGCAGCA